GTTTCAATTTGAAAACTGAAATTTCTGCTAAAATGATTCGTCTCCTTCAGAAATTGAAACGTACAGAAATCTATCTCTTCCTCAGCAAGCGTGATGGGAAGAAAAAAAGACGGAAGAGGGAGGAATGGGTCAGAGGAACTATACACAAACAGTTGGCAAGCGGATCGATGCGGTTTTATCAGGCTGGTCACGCAACTTGCACAATTGCCGGGCTTTTTTCCTCGCCGCTATTATCGGACACCCTTTAAACGTCGGCAACGAGCGCACGATAAGATCGTGTCGTCTTTCGATATATTCGCTATTTATGGCGATGGCGAGGCGAGCTGCATGTAAATGGCAATCGTGGCGCGGATGAGGTAGGTGGATTGCTGCAAGCCGTTTTCGCAAGCCGTTCTTCCGAGATCCCGTATCGCTCGTGTATCGCGAGAAATTTGTTTGGAAGGGTGTAGTTGATCCAGCTCGATGAAACGAGTCTCGATCCGCAAATAGAAAGAAGGGGAAAAAAAAAAAAAAAGAACTACGCTCCCCTCTAAAAACGAAGCAAACACTGCAGCGAACTTTGACGAAACGCGAGAGCAATATATGCTCTAAAAACAAAAACCAAAAAGAAAAAAAAAGAAATTCATTCCGGTATTACCATTTATCGCAACTCGCTGAAGCTCTCACTTTACGCACCGGGGAAAAAAAGGAAAAAAAAAAAAAAAGTGGTCAAACAACATCCCAAAACAGAACAAGCTCCCCCGGAAGGACAAGCGCAAAAGTTCCATCGATCAATAAAAACTAAATAAAAAACGATATTAAAACGATTCTGGGGAAAAAGGAAAAATTCACGTCGGTCTCGCGTGGCCCGCTGAAAGTCCCCTCTTTCCACCAAAATAGTCACCGACACGCCCGAAAGAGAGGGACGAGAAGCTCTGGCAACTGATTGCGGACCATAACGAGTGACCAGACCGTATACAATAATTCGTCACGCATTCTTTTTGAACTCGGTACGATATATCTATGGATAGAAATTATTGAGAAATAATTAATTTATTATTCGTTTCGCCTGGATATTACTTAAATATACTTAAAACTGAGGAAATTTTGTAATTTTGAGACAAAAAATTCTCATGAAGTTGACCAGTTGCGCTGGGCAACTGATTGCGGACCATAACGAGTGACCAAACCGTATACAATAATTCGTCGCTTTCTTTTTGAACTCGTCGATACGATATATATATATATTGATAGAAATTATTGAGAAGTAATTAATTTAGTATTCGTTTCGCCTGGGTATTACGTAAATATACTTAAAACTGAGGAAATATTGTAATTTTGGGACAAAAAATTCTCAAGAAACCACTTGCGCTAGGCAAATGACTGCGGACCATAACGAGTGACCAATACCGTAATTACAGTAATTCGTCGCTTTCTTTTTGTACTCGTCGGTACGATATATCTATGGATAGAAATTATTGAGAAGTAATTAATTTACTGTTTGTTTCGCCTGGGTTATACTTAAAACTGAGGAATTATTGCAATTTTGGGGCAAAGAATTTTCTCGACGTGGCACGCAAGAAAATTGCAACGCAAGAAACAGATTTAAATCGATAAATGGAAATTGAATAAAGAGCCAGTACCTCGGTGAAAAAAAAAAAAAAAAAAAGAAGGACTAAGAGAAAGATTCGCGGCATTATTTCAACTTCCGCGCAGAAATCAATTTCGCCCCCTCGTGCGTTTCATCCTTCCATTCACACCCTAATTCCTTCGAGCTGGAACGAAACAAAGGGCTCGAGAAGAAAGGAAACGAAGGTGGCAAGCGGAGGGAGAGAAAAACGAAGAAACCCGTACGGCGAAATAGAAGTGTGTGTGTGTGAGAGAGAGAGAGAGAGAGAGAGAGAGAGCCACCTTCTTCCTCGAACGGCGACGTTCAAATAGCTGTGGTTACGAAGTGGGAGGGTTGGGGTGAAAGAGGGTGGCTCGCAAGCCAGGGTGTAACGTTGCAACGAAGCAAAGCAATTTATCTTGTTGTATTAGCAAATGGATGATAATGACGTGGAATGAGGGGCAGGGGCGTAGCGAGAAAGGGGGGGAGGGTTGGAAACTGTCGGAAGGCTTACTGTGTGTAAGCAGCTGCAGCAGTTACCGGCTGCTTCTACGGTGGGCCCGCCGACTTAAGTGTACATGCATTAGTGTGCCGTCGCGACCCTTAAGTATACCGCCGTTTTCCATCCAAGTGTCTTTTTTTTTTTTCAACGCTGTGTGTTTCTAAGGGGGGCGGGCGACGGTGTCGATACAACGTACCGCCATCGCCGTTCAACTGAGCCCCGTGTTTGTTTTGTCATTCGGGACGCCGCCAAGTGTTAACTCGAGGGTTGAGCAAAGAGGAAGAGGATTCATGTTCTCTCATTTTTTTTCTTTTTTTTTTTTCACGGATGAAATCGATTCCTATCTAATCTGCGGGATCCAACGATAGTTTCACGGAATACCTGGCGTCTGGACTATCGACGAAACACGTCCGCGATGGTTCAATATGGGAAATTGTTAGCGGAGGCGAGCAACCCGCACGGCACGAAAAACGATACGCGACCGAGAGCGTGTTAATTAAACGTGCTTCGGATTAAATTGCTTCCTTTTTTTTTTTCTTTTTTGTTTAATACTTGGAAAATTGGAAACAACGAATCTCTAAATGATTATTGAGGATTTAAAAAAAGAAAAAAGAAATGTCGGAAAGATACCACCAGAAAAATTCACATCATTAGGTACAAATGATCGAACTCTCAAAGATGGCGAAACTTTTCGGGGAGAGTTTCGTGGAAACTGCGAAGAAAATGAGAACAGTGTTTTCTTTTTCGATTGCAAGCGGGAAAATTTGTTACGGGAGGAACCGGTTCGAAGGAGATGTTTCTCTGTGAACTTTGCAGTCGTCTGAATCTTTTTCTGATGGAAATGCGCCGGCATTAATAATGTTTTGAAGCATTTTGATGAAACGCCTGCGACGCACGTGTAAAAAAAAAAAAAAAAAAAAAGGGGGAAATTGCAAGAGAAAATGTCACCGAGATCTCCTTACGATGTTTAATGTATGACGGGAGAATCTGTCTCGTCTTCTTACTGTAAAAATAAGAAACTCATGACAGTAATTTTCCATATGTAAATGCATAAAGATTCGCGATGCAGTAACGAGCATTTCCTCAAACCGAATCTCCTCCTCTGCTTCGTCCGAAAGTTAACAAACGTGCCACCTCGACTGTCAGTCGACGTTTCGAATCCACAAGAATTGGAGAATTACTCGTCAGAGAATGTGTTCCCGAGTTACTCGTTTTCGTCTTAATTTTGTAAATTGAATTGATTGAATTTGGACGTACGTTCCAACGGGGAATGTTAAGTTTCTGCTTTCGGCCGAGGGAACAATTGAATAAACGAGAGTGACAAGGAAGTGGAGAGGTGGAGGAAAATCGATGGGGCCAATAAGGTGAAAGGGAAGCTCGAGGGCAGGGGCTAAAACGTTAACGTTGTATCCGGAGGATAGGGAACGATGCTAATAAGCGAATTTTCCTGGAAAAGCAGGTCGCGCGTGACAGCTCTTCAAAACGCGCACGCACAAATTGGACGTGGCGTGACGAGGCCGCCCGCCGTGGCTGGCTTCGCTTTTCAAAAGGAGCTGCATTTCCACCCGAAAGGGGGGGATGACGGCGATGAAACCGCCCCGCGCCTCTATGTTCTTACCGGGTTGCAAGAATTGAAATCGGGTGCGTGTCGGCGAAGTTTCGCCCGCGTTGCCATCTTCGCAATTTCCCCGAGAACGTTGGTCGGAATTTTGCAGTTTTCGACGTTGCGTTGGACAGCAATCTCTTGCAATCTCTCCCTCCCCGTTTACGATTATTTACAACAGAATTTTTATTTCACATTTCGAACGAATTATTATTTTTTTTTTTTCCAACGTTCGACACTTCGAATAAACAATTTTGCAAATTCCAAGTATCGAACGGTAACGTTGCAACTTCTCCGCGATTGTTGGAATCATTCACAATCCCATTTGTCAGCTGTTACCTGCAATTTCTTTGGCGTGTAGAAATTATTTTCAAGTCATTGTTGCAAGCTTCAAGTACCGTGTTTCCGAATTTCTTCGCGATCGTCGAGATTATTAGTTTCGTAAGTTTTTCGTCGGTCTCTCTGATATTTTTTTCTGACACGTTGAATCTTCCGATCTCGCAGCTGTGAAACGCGCGCGGCAGTCGCAGTGAAACTGAATTCCTGGCGGAATTCTCGATTCTGCTGATTGTTGCTGGCGCTTTTGTCGTTGCTGGTTTAAATAGACCGCGAGATATCTTGGCGAAATTGATCGACCGACGGCGGCATTCACTCCGATGCGAGCGCGTTCCCGTGGATTAATTTCCGGCGTCTGACGACGCGTCGACCGTTACTACTTGCGGACGTCGCGCCGCCTCGCTGCTTGGATCTTTCGCTTGCCCGATTATCGAAAGAAAAACGACCACGCACACACAAACACACTCTCTTTCTCTTCCCAGACAAACCTTACACTCTAGACTTACCTCCTCAATTTATTTATAAATTACGTTGCAAATGGACAGCGATTTACACTAGAATTATCGATGATTAAAGCATAAAATGCTTTCACTGGAAGCATGAAGTCAGAAAAATAAAGAAACCTTATAATGGAGTATACAAGTTTTTATTCATACACATTTCGCGAGAAATTATTTAAATCTTTAAATATACGCCTTACGTCTTTACGAAAATTAAAAAAACTGGTCATTTTGACCACTTCGATTCCCCAGTTTTCTAGTCTAAGTGAAAACCTGTACTTGGGATTGATTTCGTATGAGATGTGCAACAAAGTGTACAAAGTAAATTGAAAATGATAAATAACAGATTCTTTCACCAACGAAATTGAAAGTTTCTGCTAAATGTAAAGAGCATTTTATTTATTACTCAACGATGACGTTAATGAGTCATTTGCAGATTACTTGGAAATTGAAGCAACTCTAGCTTTCTTTCTCTGTTCGCAGGTGAGTGTCCCGGAATTCCAGTACGCTCGAGGGACGGGCGCGTCCCTGATGATGGTAAGCCATAAAGCAACTGTACCCTGCGCCTTGGCGCGCCGTACGTAACACGCGTTCCTCCTGCCACGTGGCCTGATTCCCTCTATGCCAATCCCACTCTAGTTTCTTATTCAACGTGGCGCGTCAGATGTTAGAAATCATTCTCAATCGACGTCTGGCGATGCATTCTCCAACTCGTGACGTTACGATCCGTTTGCAATTGAATTTTTTGGCGGACGTGAAATTGAATTTTGCCGGACGTGCGCGCGGTAGAAAAGAAATTTTCTCTTGCGAGTTGTAATTTTTACGATGAAAGTTTGAGCGTGAGGACAGAGAGCGTGGAGGATTTCTTTGGAGCAGAGGTGGCTAACTGGCGGCCCTTGCCCCACTTTCCCGATCGCTAGCGCTATCCCCTCCACCGCGCCGATCTCCCCACTCCGTCGAGAGTGTCATGGCCACGATACTCCCTTTAGATATGCATGTAGCTACTAAAATTAAAAAGAAGGAAAAGAAAAATTAAAAATTAGGAAAATTGGAAAGTAGTTTCTTTTTTTTATTAAAGTAGTTTCTTTTTATTGGTAAAACGAGAGAGTGAATTTGGTAATTTCGTCAGATGAAGGAACGAACTGTTTAGTCATTGAGAGAATGAAAGAAATCGCAGGAGTCAGGCTACTCTCGCGAGTAAATAATAGTTTTCGTTTTGCAAATATTAAGAAGCCGAAGGTGAAATTGACACTTTTTAAACGCAGAGGGAAATCGAGGGTTTCGCCGTCTCGCGTTACAACCGCCGTAAAATAAGACACGTCCCGGGAGAGGGACGTGTCCCCGCGAATGTGTTTGTATATCATGAAAATGGCCACCGAGGGACGCACGACACAAACACACACACACACACACACACACGTAACCGACGGAAAATCGTTCCGTGTCACCGGAGTTTACGCTCCTTACTGTCCTTATTCGACGTTGAATCAACGCTTCGAAGTCGAAACTCACTTCGGAGAAGTCGCTACGAAATTACCAAACGCAATTTCACCGCCCGGCGGGTGATGTTGTTCGGGGATTTTTCGAATTCGATTTTTCGACGGCCAATTTTCTCGAACGACCGCTCGACTCGGAGAAATGAAAGTTATCGTTGGATGACGAACGACGCGTTGAGAAAAAATTTTTTTTCAATACATGTACGCATGTACGTTAAAGCGATCGAGAATAAACGTCCCTCGGCTTCGAATCGGGCCCTCGCGGTTTTTCTCCTTTGTGGAGCTGCGGGACGTCTGGAAACTCTTTCTGCAAACTGTTTACGCGCCTCTTTGAGGTGCTGCAAATTGAAAGGGAAATAGGGTCGGATTTTCGTCGCGCCGCGTGCCTCCATTTTTCTCCGCTGCCAGACACTTTAAGACCGTCACACTGTTGTGCTGTACGTGTAACACGTCCCGTGTGTCTGTCTGCGCGTGTCTCGTACAATCTCTCGTTACTACAGCGACGTACAAACGACGTGGAATCACTGTTTAAGTAAGTGAAATTGTTCCCATCCGCGCGGCGGAATTTTCCACGGTGAATTATCTGTCCTAGAAGTGTCTGTTGCCGCGAGGGAAGATTCCCTTCGTGTGCGTTTCGCGGAATCTCTTCCGCTGGCACACAGGGAATTGGCTTGTCATCGAAATTTCCACTCTCGGCGGATTTTCGGCTGAGCATTTCGCGCGATTACCTGGTCGGAGCGATCGGTTTGAAATTTTTTTCTCGCTTGATTTGAATGATCCTTCGCGTGCGAGAAAATTCTGTCGAATTTAATTGAAACGTTGGTTCGATCGAATGATTTAAATTGAAGACAATTCGTCTAACGCGTGACGAATGGTTGGTCAAAGTGACTAGCTCGAGATTTATTCTACAAGTTTGAATGATCCTTCGTGCACACAGCAACTGGAACAATTGTAATCTATCTGGAAGCGTTTTGTCGTAGTAGAAAACGGCCAGAATGACCAGTTTGAGATTTTTTTCCATAATTCTTAAAATTTTACTAAACGTTTCACGTGCCACTCGTTTCGATAAAAATGATTTATCAGATATATGATTTAGTTACGTATAACACATTTATATATTATATATTCTTCTGCTGATGAAGATATATATATATATATAATTTCGTCTGGAACCTGAATTTTAACCTGTGTTTTTTTTTTTTTTTTTTTTTTTTATTAATTTCCCTTCAAATCAGCATCATCGAAACGGCAAGTTAGTCGAGACACGCAATAGTCAACAAAACACTATACTACGGGGTGTCTTGTATTTTCTGCCCCCCTGATTTCGAAGGAAACGATCTTTCCAGTACGTGGTATCGATCATTCGGCGGCTTTTTGCTCGTTAAAATTCCATTTCGCCCAGGATAAATAGCAAATTGTGCTTCGAAAGCTCGACGTCATCCACGTCTCCCTCGTGCATGTTGTATGTACTCGTCGATTACTCCAAAGCCTCCCTCTCTCCCTCTTTGGCCGTCCAGTCTCACAGCAGCGAGGCGTTGTTTCTTCGTGGTTCTTTTTAACAGTACTGTTTCAGAAAACGGCTGCCCCCGTCGGCCGTGGCTTATCTTTATTTTCCGCATAAACGAGGACAGGGCTTATCAGCGCCCGTGGCAAAGCCAGCGGCTATCGTTAGAGTTCAAACACGTTCCTGACATGCTCGGCCGAGCCGGCCATTACCACTTGCTGCACCTGGTGTTCTCTCTTTCTCCGCCGCTTGTCTGCTTGCCCTCCCTTCTTTCTTCTCGTTATCAGCTCGTCTCTTGCCTCTTTCGAGATTCTTTCCACTTGTTTCTTCTTCTTCTTCTTCGTCTTTTTCTTTTCGACAGGATATTTAACGAACGAAACACAGGAATGTCCATAAAGTGTCTTTGCAATTTCAAAAATTTATTTACGACGGCAAACGAAAAGACAGATAAGTGGAAATTATTAATATAAACGAGACGTGTTCATTTAAGTTTCTTTAATTCTCTAAGCACATCAAGACGGTTCTCGATTTCTTACGCGATCGATGTTTCCCTCGGATGTTCTTCATCGTCCACTTCTCCCTTTATCGAACACTGTCACTGTCTCCTGATAAATTTCTTCTGCCATGCACGAATTGATGAACGTGACGACGGATCTCTTCCATACTTAGTTCGGAAATTTCGCCGAGTTCTGCAGATACGATTTGGTTTCAATAAATCATGATACGTACTGTGCCCCTTCTCTTCTCTTGAGGAGTAGCCATTTTGTAAGGGATTCATTTAACATTCATTTATCTCATTCATCAAAAGGCTACCTGAAATTTCTCAATGTGATGAAAACCTTGATAACCACCGAGTACATGGAGCAAATCTGACGAAGATATCTCATCGGTTGGGTTTGTAATAAATTTTTGAAGTTGTAAAGACACTTTACGGACAGCCTGTATTAACAGAAGCGAGAGATGCGAGTTCCTCGCGTACGTTCTAACACAGAGAGACAGACGCGAGAGTGAGCTACGAGCGTTGTTTTCATTGTCCCGAAACGTGTTCCCGAAAATTGCAATCTCCCCGATTTTTCTGACCAGCCTCGCGGAAATTATCCGGGCTGCTGCAGCTCCGAGCCGGAGAAATTTCGAGGAGAGAATTTCACGAGACGCGAGCACGCTTTGACGCGTCCCAGAGGTGGAAACAGCTGCGAAAGAAAGGATGGAGGAGGGATGAAAGGAGGATACGTGTATGTGCGCCTGGCGCTGTCCTCCTCGCGAGAGAAAACAACCGGAATCTCGCGTTTCGAAAGTCCGTCCCGACGAAAACTCGCGTTTCCTCTCGCTGTGCTCAGCGCGCGGTTCGATTTCAATCGAAAGAGAGAATCCAGAGGACTCGAGGTAATTGCCGAGTCAATTATTTGTCGAGGGAAAAAGTTCTCCTTCTGTCGGAAGTTTTTCTTTTTTTTTCTGAAAATTGAACGACGAAACGCGAGAAAAGGGAAAGAATTGAAAAAAAAAAAGAATGGAAGATCAGAAATCGAGAGATCATTCGTGGAAATGATGTAATGAAATATAATAACGAACGATATGATTTTCGTAATGTTAATTTTTGTCAAATGTATTTTTTGCGCGTACTTTTTTCCCTCCCCCCTTCGTCGTTGACAGTAATGCCGCGGCTCTAAATCGATTTTAATATTTTACAACGTTGCCCGTCGGTAACATCCAAATTAAAATCGAATTTTTATGTTACATTCGCGGGAATTGAATAGGGGGCGGCGTGTTACCGTGGATTTGACAGAAGGTGAAAATTCTCGTTTCGATTCGCGTATTTGAATAATACATTTTAATTAATATAAAATTTCGTGTCCCTCTGTGCGTGTGTGTGTGTGTGTGTGTGTGTGTGCGCGCGCGCGCCCGCGTGTTCGTATAATGGAAAAGGAAGGGAATATTAATTTTTCATTTGGTTTATGGATAAAGAAACACCACGGTAGCGGGGGATTTTAATTAATTTTTCAACCTTGTGTCCATTGTATTACCATTTTAAACGACGTACCTTTTGTTTCACTCGCGGATTGTTGAATAATATTTTGTAATATAATATCGCGTATTGAACGTAGGAAAAGCAGCTTCGTCTGTATTGTTATTATCATCGTTATTATTATTATTACTATTATTATTATTATTAACTCAATTGTATAAATTATATCAACGGGAGTCTCGCAGAAGCTCGGCAATTCTTTTAACCCGTTTGCCCCGGTTTAATCCAATTTTCCAAATTATTGGAATTTTCTACGGTTTGTCGAGGGTAAATTTGTGAAGCACAGTTTGTACATGCGCGATGCTTTCTCTTTTTTTTTTTCGTTAAATCAAATTAGATCCAGCAGCGATAATTTAACGCCGCGACGGCGAACAGGTTCGGCCTCTCAAGCGAAACAATTAAAGAAATGAATCAGCCCCTTTCGATCGTCAAGTTGAAATAAGCTGAATTCAATTAAAACTTCTATCGAACACATAAGTTGACAACTTTCGGGCACCTTCCGCGCGGAAATTGT